GCCTTGACTCTCCCATTTGAGACTAAGATGTTCTGCACAACTCCCTCTGTTGGTATACCCCCTCCCAGCCTGGACCCGTCTCCTGAGGGCTGTGGACCAGCCCTCCTATCTGTGGATCCCATTTCAGAAACCCCAGCTGGCTCGCCTCACTGTTTCAGAGAGAACAGATGGATGTGTGCTCAGTGTTGTTGTTTTGTTGTGTTTCTTCTGTGTTGGTATTAAAGGTAAAGGAACACAGTGGAGGTGGCCCGGCTCATGTCACTGTTTCAGGTCAATGTTGTTTTTTTGGTGTTTCTGAGTCAGTGTAAAAGGTAAAGGAACACAGTGGAGGTTAGAACGCAGCTTATGCAATTCTAGCTCAGTTACTTTGTTTACCACCATACTGTTGGGATAACTTTATTTTGAGAATGGCTGCAGGTGAAATTTAGGTGTAGAAAGCACTTTAGAACCAATTTTAAAATTGAAGTAGTTTGTAGAAAAAGGTGAGAGGAAAATGCTGGGGAGCACACAGCTTACCTACGGCATTTCTGTCTGGGAGTTTCGTTTAAGCTGCTCCTGGCTCTTAGGTCATCCAGCCCACATTGTTTTGTGCTCCAGCTGGGGAGTCTAGGCCAGGCCTCCACCCCAGAACAATGGGCTAAGCCCTACATTGCTTGGCAGACACCTCTTCCTCTGGCTTTTTTTTTTTTTTTTTTTTTCTTTCCCCTTTTGGGTTGTGTTTAATGATGCTTTTTTTTTTTAATGCTGTTACTGAGGTATACTCCCACACACTAAGTTGGCAGCCAAGCCGTCCAGAGAATAGGCTCCTTGTGGTAGTTCCTCCCTAGTGAAAAGGGAACTGGCTGCACGTTTGGAGCTTCTGAGAAGGTAGAAGAGTTAGGAGGACAGACGGACTGCCTTCTTTCTGGACCTTCTCACCCGAGGCCGAGGCAGCTAGTAGGTTTGTGTCTGTGCTCGTTCTGTGCATCTCTTTAGTCCGGATTAGGGGTGGGAGTAGTTAGTGTCCTTCTCTTCTCTGACATGGTTTATCTTTTTTTGTTACATTCTTTCTGCAGGTAAATTTGTTACATTCTTTCTGCAGGTAAATTTGTTACATTCTTTCTGTAGGTAAAGTTCAGATAGTTACCCTGTTTCCTCCCTTACTAGTCCCAGTTCCTCTTACCCTTCTTTTGCTTTAAAAATGGAAGAAAGGTATCTATCTGTAGAAGAAAAGTATCTATCTGTAGAAGAAAAGTATCCATCTCTAGGGTGCGGTTTTAAGATTAGACTATTGAGTTCCTCTGGTCCTGCCTTCCCTGGGAATTACCTGCTTTCTTGCTTTCTAGGCAGTTGCTAAAAAGGCCCACCAAGGCTGAGCTGCCCATCTTGAGCGTTGTGTTGTGGATGTGGATCTCAGGGGTTCTCCCAGGGGAAAGTGGGTATTATACCTTTCATTTAAGTTTGCTCAAGTCATTTAAAAGTTGCAATTAGCAAAATTGGTACTACTTAGTGTCTTTAGAAATGTATAACTGTTTTCTAAAAGATCTCCTTCCCCTTTCATTCAAGGAATTAATTATTAAATGAGAAGTTCGTAGTAGCTGTGTTTAATCTTTTAATTTCTCAACTAAGTAGAACAGACATTTTAGGTACCTTTAGACAAATAGGTTTTTTTTTTTTTTTTTTTAATTATTTAGCCCTATGTATTTATCTCAGTATTACTCTCATTGCATTTCTCATGGTTGGAAATCAGAACATGAATGTTAATATAGTGTTACAGTAAGATGTTGTTTTGACAACTTTGTACATAATTAGGAATTTATTGCTGATAATGGCAGTTACTAGTAAACTATAAGACAGCAAAAAATTCTTAAAGCAATGCTATTCAGTAAAAATATTGTAGGTCACACAGGTAACTTAAAAATTCCTCCTACCTGTTTTTCAAAGTAATTTAATATTTTCAAAATGTTACTTTAATATGTAATTAGTATAGAAAAGATTATTTTCCACCCTATCTCTATACTGTGCCTTTGAAGTCAGAATACTTCATTTTGAACTAGACACATTGTAGGTACTGTTGCATGTGGCCCAGTGACTGGTATTGGACAGTGGGTTGTAAATGGCTCAGCACCATTTGCCCAGTGCCCATAGCATGGCTCACAGTGGCTGTTCACTGAGAGAATTAAGTGATCACTTAAAAGCTGAGCTGTGGAATTAAACAGATGTATGAAAAGTCAAATGTATATAATAGATTACATAGAATTATGAAATGTGTTCTAACTTGATTAATTAGAACTATAAATTCCCAACCTAGCACATGGTTGCTGAGAGGAAGCTTGACTTCAGAGGCATTTCTTATCATATATATTAGGTTTCTTGACACAAGGAAACTGGTGTTGGTATAGATGAAATCAAGTAAAAGTCATACGTATTTTTCTTTTGCCAAGTTATTTGTCAAACCATTATTGCCTCCCGTGTATCTGTACCTATTTTTGTTTAACTCAGTTACTTGACGTAGTTTTTAATTTATTGCCAATTTCATTTGTGTTTACAGATTTTACTGATTGTGTCCACTCCTACTTCTCTCCTCCAACCTACTGCCCCTGGCTTCCCCTTAAAATGCCCTCTCTTGTCTGCATAGACCTGGCTGGTCAGATTAGCCTAGAACTCACAGAAGGCCTGCTGTCTAGGATTAAAAGCATGCACCACCATGCCAATTGTGAGCGTGCGTGTGTGTGTGTGTGTGTGTGTGTGTGTGTGTGAGAGAGAGAGAGAGAGAGAGAGAATCATCCCATTAAGCCTATTAGTGCTACTCATATGCGCATACACGGTAACACGGGAAACCTACCAGTGGCCACACCCCCAAAGAATAATGTTTTTCATCAGCGGCTGCCAGTAGCTCCTCTCCCACCCTTCTGATCTTTGACTGGCACCGGTTTGTTCAGGTAACTGCAGCTGCTGCAGGGTCATGAGTGCAGAGGTCAGCATGTCACGTCCCTGACCTTCAGAGCTCCCTCTCTGTCTGTCTGTCTCTCTCTCCTTCCCTCTTTCTCCCTCCCTCCCTCCCTCCCTCCCTCTCCCCCCCACAATGTTCCTTGAACTTTGCTGGGGAAGCACAGGGCTTGACAATGGGCTTCCACGTAGGACAGAGCCCTCCCTCACTTAGCCTCACATGTGGGCCAGTTATGAGTCTTCTCATTGACTGCTGCCCATTACATATGGAAACTGCTCTCACCTAGATTGAGAGAACAAATCTGTGGATATAAACAAGTACCTAGAAGGCAAGCTGATAACACAGCCATTTAGTAAAATATCAACAGTAGGTTCCTCAATTGGATGTCTATGAATTTCCAGCTATGGGCTTTTGACCAATATCACTAAATTCCCCCTGTGCAGTAGACTGCAGATGCAGTCAGAAAATCCTTAGCTCCCTCAGTCACAGGCAGGCCGCTAGTGCTCATTTGGTGGGTCTGGCTCTGCAGGCTGGCATTCTAGCAAGCAGGGTCCAGCGCTAAATGAGACTGTCGGCCTCCCTTCTTCCCCAGCCAGCCAGCCAGAAAGGCATTTTCCCTTTTGGTTTAAGTTTGAGTTTTATGTCCTGGTATTTAGCAGTAAGTACTAACCATGTAGTTATGGTGAGCAACTAAGAGCAGCGCCAATAGCCTGTGTTGTTTTGGAGACTTCTGGACTCTCCTTGACCAACAACTTGTAGGGAGGTATCCAATGCCTGGACTTGCAAATTTCATTTAGCCCATATCTTCTAGGACGGTGTTATTCGTTCATACAGAATACCTGTTTGAACTCCGTTTACTGTCACCACCATTATTATATGTTGGTAGAATGGACCTCCCATTTCCTCACCCTTCCCCTGCTTGACCCTTTAACCCAGTTCATGTCAGATTTATCGTATCATCCCCTCCATTTTTAATTGGGTTGCAGTTTCTCATACTATCTTCCTTTAGGTTGATCCCCCCTCCCATCTGTGATTTCCTCCAGAGTTCCAGGTCTTTATTTCACTCATAATTTACTGTGGCACTGCCAACTCTCCCAGTTGTGTTGTTATGGCTGCTGTGCATTCCTAATGACTGTGTCCTCCTCCCTACTGCAGAGGGAGAAGGGGCCAGGTCCCAGCAGAAAGTCTATAAACTACAGTTGCTAACTAATAGGGGAACTATGAATAGTTTGCACATAAAGATGACATCTTCCAGATTATTACTTTAAAAAGTCTATCTTAATTTATTGAAATCATTTTTTATACTTATTTTTATTGTGTGTCATAATATCTCATAGCTGTTAAGGTGAAATGTTTCCTACTGTTGGTGTGAAGTATACTATACCCAGCTATTACACTCCCGCTTTATGCTTTGACCATTTTGTTTAGTAGTTCTAATAAGGGATCCAAAGCTGATGTGTTGAGATTATGATCTCTAAGCAGAATATTGATCCTGAAATCATATGAGATACCTGTTTTTCTTGAAGATTCCATTAGTTTTTTTTCATAGGAATGTCATGTATCTGTGTTTGAATCTTTGGTTATATATGAGCTACAGTATAGTTTTCTGGATGATATTTTCTTAGCCCCTCTTAACTACTTGTTGCAAGAAGTTCTTGTTTTGAAATTTAAACTATAATATGAAAAGAGTGAGGATACAAAAGGTGGTTACAGAAATACAGCAATACCATATATAGCCAGCTGATCCCTTGAAGAATTTCTCATTCACTTGGGTTTGTGGCTGTTTACACTGTTTATAAACAATCCTTTTGAGTATTCCAAGTCTAAGGGTGTTTTCTCATTATATTGTTCATGAGTTGAACGATTTTACAAGAGTACTTTTCTTATAAACTTGGAGCCATAAAATAGAAACATTCCTAACTAGTTTCTCTAATTTTTTGTCAAAAAGTATGTCCTATTAATAGAGTTTATAGTTCTAGTTTTTGTATAAAATGAGTTACCCACGTGGTGGTTGTTGTCCATTTCCTGCAGCGTGGTTTTATTGTGTTGCTCTGGCCTTGTCTTCACGTAGGGTGCTGGCCAGGACAAACTGGGAATCTACGTGAAGTCTGTTGTGAAAGGAGGCGCTGCAGATGTGGTCAGTATGTGCAGTGTGCGCGTTAGTGCTGGGAAGTGCTGTGCGGTGTGGCGTGTGCTCTCTGTACTGACAACTGTCTTTCTCCCTCTCCCTGCACCCTTCGGTGCCTAAGGATGGACGTCTAGCTGCTGGTGACCAGCTCCTCAGTGTGGACGGGCGAAGTCTGGTTGGACTTTCTCAGGAAAGGTATGACTAGTGAGTTAGTTTAAAGCTTAGTCTTAGTGTATTGAAGTGATACTTTACATTTAATTTCTAAATTGGAATTCAAAAAGTAGTGCTGAAGTAGCTCCATACCCTCATTCGCCTTTGTAATCCTAAAATTCTTAAAGTGCATGAACCTCATTTTTCAATTGGGTCACAAATACATATTTTAGTCTAGAATATTTCTTTAAGTGATTATGTAAATACATAATACTTAGTACTCATAGGACTTCTAATACCATCTGAGTATTAATATGATAACATAGGATATATTTACACGTTTTTATAATTAAATTTCAAAAAGGATGTGGGCAGGAGGTAAACTTTCTGAAAGCCAGATTTATTTTCCCAAGCAGCAATCAGGCTGAGGAACCTAAGCATGAGTGTTCAAACACAGGCTCTCTGTGACATTGAGCACTCAGTTTTCTTACATTCTGTATTTACTTCCTAGGGCAGCAGAACTCATGACAAGAACCAGTTCTGTGGTCACACTTGAAGTTGCAAAGCAAGGCGCCATCTATCACGGCCTGGCCACCCTCCTCAACCAGCCATCCCCCATGATGCAGAGAAGTAAGAAATAGTGACTCAAGCCTGGGTGATCTATCTGTCCTACGCTGATCCTGCAGAGTAGTGTGACTCCTCAGAAGTTATCAGAAGCTGGGGCTGGAGAGATTGGCTTAGTAATTAAAAGCACCCACCTCTCTTCCAGAGGACCTGGGTTTGATTCCCAGCACTCTCATGTTAGCTAAGAAGTACCTGTTTTCCAGTTTCAGGGACTTGATGCCGTCCTCACACCTCCTTGGACAACAGTCAAAGATGCATGTGGATACATGCAGGCAGTGCACTCATATGTATAAGATAAATTGCTTTTACAAAGGGAGTTATCAGGAGTCTCATGCAGTAGCTGCTGGTACTGTTGCTGCCCAGTTCTTAAAATAAGCAGTTGAGAAACAGTGTAAGGTGCTGAGAAACTCTACTAGGTCAGGATTCAGGTGGACATCAGCCGACCTGAAGCCCACACTTTAGTTCACCCAGCTTCTCGTGGTTCTCAAGAGATCTTTAACCTCAGCCCATTTGGCTGTCTGGCTGTCTGCTCATGAACTCCCTAGATTGTGCGGAGTACTCAAGCACCAGTAAAAATGAGTACATTTTGAGTCTTGATAGGCATGATCGGAACATAAAGTCTTTAAGTCTGCAGAGAAAAATTCACTTATTTCAACAAAGTAATTTATTTGTAGGAACTGACCCTCCAGCTATATTAAAATCTTTAGAAAAAGATAAATGTAATTTTAAGGCTTTCTAAAGAATTGCTTGAGAAACTACAAGAGGAAAAGCATTGTGACTCTTATTCTCATGTGATGATTGACCCTTCAGATCAGCCTTAATGATAGAGTTTGCTAAATGTATGCACAGTCTGTCAAGTGTAGTTCCTTCAACCCTCTTCTCCCAAGTCAGCTTTGCAAACTGCACGTGCCAGCACCTGACCCCTGTAGTGTATGGTATCCGCAACAAGAAAGGCATCTGACAGCCTAGAAGCCCCCTGTTGACTAAAGCAGAGAAACAGCAAGGTATCCGACAACATCATGTCCGTCTATTAGAAACCCAAGGAGACGTAGGTAATGGGTCAGTCCCTGGTCAGGAGATGAGAAGACGAAGTGATGACAAGGAATGGATAATCACAGCACATTACTCTAAAAAGAGTTGCTTTGTTACTTACTAATTACACTTCAGTTGTTGAGAAAATAATGTCAGTTTCCCCCGTAGATACACACCAATTAAATATTTTCTAATCACAATATACTTTAAAGCATTGGAAAGTTTTTATATAAAGCTGTTTGTGATGGCACACACCTTTAATCCCAGCACTCAGGAGGCCTCCTGATTTCTGTGCGTTTGGGGCTACCCTGGTCTTTATAGGGAATTTCAGGCCAGCCGTGGCTATCCAGTGAGACCCTGGGTTTTGTCTTGTTCTGCTTGCTTGCTTGTTTTTGTCTCTTTAAAGCTGTATAAAGAATGTATATGAAAATGGTCTTACTATACTAAGAACAATTATGAAATGAAGTATTTCAGATGCAGCCTTTGAAGCTTCTCAGAGCATCCAAAGCAGACTCTTAGAACCAGTGAGAGGAACAGAGAATGAATAAGTCCACTTTGATTTCAGTTTCAGATCGTCGTGGCTCAGGTAAACCCAGACCAAAGAGTGAAGGTTTTGAGCTCTACAATAATTCAGCTCAAAATGGCTCCCCAGAGAGTCCTCAGCTGCCTTGGACAGAGTACAGTGAGCCAAAGAAACTTCCTGGTGATGACAGGCTGATGAAGAATAGAGCTGACCACCGTTCCAGCCCTAATGTGGCAAGTAAGAAGAATGGTTTTCTAAGTGTGTTTGGTCACTGCCAGAAGGGAGTAGGGCACATGGTACTTTGCTAGTTACTATTTGCATCTGATGGCTACCTAGAGTTGTCTTAATATTCTTTGATGGAAATAAAATTTCAGTTTTGTTTGGAAAACCCTTGGCTCGGTGGACACTGTAGATCAGAATCATTGCTGACGTGTCTGGAAAAGGGAAAGGGGTGTCAGATTGCCAGATAAAGCTGAGGGCATGCACATTTTAAAGATGGGTGGCAAAGAGGTGAGGTCGGCAGGGGGATTTAATAGAGACCCCAAATTTAAACGGCCTCAGGGTAGACTCCTGAGTCTCTTTCCCAAAGATGTCAGCCCTGCCCTGGCCCTGGGGGAAGCCTGTTCCGGGCTGTGGTGGCAGGAGACATGTGGTGATCCACCTTCGACGGGATGTTGCTGTGATTAATTGTCATTTAATGTGTTTCTCCACTGTTTCCAACAGATCAGCCTCCTAGCCCTGGAGGGAAGAGTCCATATGCTTCTGGAGCAGCAGCTAAAATAACGTCTGTCTCCACTGGAAACCTGTGCACTGAGGTCTGCGAGGCTTTCTCCCGTGTAGGCTGTTGGCGTTGTCTGTACAGTGCTCACAAGCTACACTGACTATATAACTCCCGCATTTTTGTTATTTAATACCTTTACTTTTAATACACTAGGCAGCATATAAGTTAGTTTTAAATTAATAGATCTGGGGTAAATGAGAGTTAGTCCTAACAGTAAATCTGAAAAAATTAAAATGTTTCTCTTTCACAGTGTAAGATCAAATTTTCAATTTATAACACAACACTTAATATGCATGCTTTTTAAAAGATTGTAAAAATAGATCACTGGGTATTATTAAGTTACCCTTTCATACAATTACAAATAGCTGTTTTTCTTTTTCTTTTTTTACACCTTTCAGGAGCAGACCCCTCCACCTAGACCTGAAGCCTATCCCATCCCTACTCAGACATACACCAGAGAGTATTTTACCTTTCCAGCTTCAAAATCCCAGGATCGGATGGCTCCTCCTCAGAACCAATGGCCAAACTATGAGGAAAAGCCGCAAACGCACACAGAAAGTAATCATTCCAGTGTTTCAATCCAGGTTAGAAACAACAAGATTCACAAAGTTTTCCCATCTCGATGGGTATGGTACATGGTTTGGCAAGATAAAGACAGTGATGGCTGTCTGTCTTTTTCTTTTAAAATACTAATTTGTGTTTATTGTGCGTGCATGCGTGCGCGCTTGTGTGCGCATGGAGCACACGGGCAGAGGTCAGGGGACGGTTTGCAGGGGTCAGTTCTCTCCTTCAGCCACATGGGCTCTGGGGATCAAACAGATGAGCAGGTTTGACAGCTGAACCATCTTGGCCAGCTCAAGGGTGATGTTAAATACAGCAGAGAGGTGGTCCTCCTATTGTTGTATGTGCGTGTTTTAAGTCCAAGACAACAAAGAATAGGCTTACGTACAGAACGCCTAAGAAAAGGAGCTCTGTGTTCTCTTAGCGTTTGGTTGGTTAATGAAAGTGTTGGTAACGTAATGCAAGGCTCCCTGAGTTTTAGGACACAAAAATGAAAGATGGTGACTGGCACTTGGTTCGGTCCCTGCTAGTGTTTCTGGAGGTAGGGCTGAGAAGCGAGACATACAGAAAGCCTGCCATGTTCTTAGAGCCACTGAGAAAGTGGGCGCCACTGAGGGTCTCAGTTTGGAAAGACCCCGGCCTCCCTAGGTTCTTGTGTGGCTGGAGGAAAGGGCCTGGGCATCAGAAGACAGACAGGGCTCCTTAGAAGGTTGTGGGAGCTCAGATGAGTGACAGTCAGAGATGTCCGTCTGGGAAGTGCTATCAGTTGTGACCGGAGAAGAAGCCAGCGTTGCGCTTTCAAGGGAGACACGGTCTAGGATACAAAATATGTGTCCTGGAGAGCAAATGGTGTGGGAATCCCCGAAACAGTCATTCCTCATTAGCGTGGTCACACAAGACTTCTTCTCCCCTCTCTTGAGCAGACATGGGATTAGAGTGAGTCTTAAAAGACGAGAAAAGGTTGGGCAGAGAGCGGAAAGGGCTGTGCTCATAAGAGGCTGGGCAGAAAGTCATCTCTGGCCTATTCCAGGGGGCTATTCTGTCTTTTCCTGGCTAGCAGCTAGAGTCCTTGCCCCTGCCCTATACCGCATCTTCTCTGGCGGCAAACGGTGCAGAGTTGAGTTTTATGGCAGGGCCAGTTTTCTGTCCCACAGTGCATGTAACTTCACGATGGTCCTGTAGTGTGTAATATTTGTTTTAATCTTTCTTCATGTATTCAAAAACTGTATGTTTATCAAAGTATGCTACTGCCCTGTTTCTGTGGCGACTTAGAAACATCTTAGATTGTTGGGACTTACTCTTGCATGTGTGGCTCAATCAAAGAGCTCATGAAGCTAGTCGTGAGCTGTAGAACTCATTCAGAATTGAGCCATGGAGGTATACAGTGAGTACTGTGTGATAATTAGAATTACGTCACAAGAAGCGTTTGTTGCTTTTCTTGGTTTCCACTCTGCTCATTCTTATGTGACTGGTCCCCCTGGAGCCTGAGCAGGTGCCTTTACCTGGCAGCGCCGGAAGGACAGTGCCACAAATAGCATGCGTTAGTGGACAGACAGACAGACCTTCATTCCCTTTGTAGACAAAGTCCCAGCTGTGTCATTCGGCCAGAGAGCCATAAAGCAGCCCGCTATTGTTACATGCTCATTCTATCCGTCTTCTCTTCTCCTTGTGAAGAGGAAACATGCACGAAACCTGGTAGCTTCTCTGGTGAATCCCTGAAGTGTGTGCTTCCTCTTTTCTCTTCTCAGCGCGTTACCCGTTCCCAGGAAGAGCTTCGAGAAGAGGTTTACCAGCTCGAGCGGCATCGAATAGAGGCTGGCATGGATCGCAAGTGTGACAGTGACATGTGGATCAATCAGAGCTCCTCAGTGGATTCCAGCACATCCAGCCAAGAGCACCTGAACCATTCCTCCAAGTCCGTCACCCCTGCTTCCACCCTGACTAAAAGCGGTCCCGGGCGTTGGAAAACCCCAGCAGCAGTACTGCCCACCCCTGTGGCTGCCTCCCAGCCCATTCGAACAGACCTGCCTCCCCCGCCCCCTCCACCTCCTGTCCACTACGCCAGTGATTCTGATGGCATTGCAGTGGATTTGTCCCTCCCACCTCCTCCTGCCCACCAGCTGGGACCCCAGTCCGCTCAGGTGGCCGCTGCAGAGAGGAAGAAGAGAGAAGAGCACCAGCGGTGGTATGAGAAAGAGAAGGCCCGCCTCGAGGAGGAGCGGGAGAGGAAGCGCAGGGAGCAGGAGCGCAAGCTGGGTCAGATGCGCACCCAGTCCCTGAACCCTGCTTCCTTCTCTCCTCTGGCCACGCAGGCCAAGCCAGAAAAGCCTTCCACACTGCAGAGGCCCCAAGAAACAGTCATCCGGGAGCTGCAGCCCCAGCAGCAGCCCCGCACGATTGAGCGCAGGGACCTGCAGTACATCACCATCAGTAAGGAGGAGCTGTCCTCCGGGGACAGTCTGTCTCCAGACCCCTGGAAACGAGACGCCAGGGAGAAGCTGGAGAAGCAGCAGCAAATGCACATTGTCGACATGCTGAGCAAGGAGATCCAGGAGCTGCAAAGCAAGGGGGACCGCAGTGCCGAGGAGAGCGACCGCCTGAGGAAGCTTATGCTGGAGTGGCAGTTCCAGAAGAGACTGCAGGAGTCTAAGCAGAAGGATGAGGATGACGAGGAAGAGGAAGATGATGATGTGGATACCATGCTGATCATGCAGCGCCTGGAGGCCGAGCGGAGAGCCAGGGTAAAGGGGAAAGGCCTTGGTTGTGCGTATCTGTGCTCCCTATGGTGCTTTCTGGGTGTTGCTGTGGAAACGGCTAATTTCGCAACCCTAAGGAACACAGTTAAGAGGCCTCTGGTGTCTCCTGGCCATTCTGGCTGGCATTGCAGGAGTGACCCAGACCCCCTAGGGACTCACTGTTTCAATTAGCCAGCCCCATAGTTATCCCCATGACACTTCAGTTGAGAAAGCAAGTACTTAGTTAGTAATGACCACTCACATTTGTGATCAGGGCTTGGCAAAGGTTTCATTTATAAGGCCAGACGGTGAATACCTGAGATTTGATGGGCTTTGTAACCTATAATGGCCACTTGGCTCTGCTGTGAGCAAAGCAGCCACAGTTGTCATGCAAACACTAAGCCAAGGCAGTCAGTGAAAGCCCCTGGTCCTGATGCTAATTATTATGAGCAGAGGAAGCTTGAGCACATCAGCACTGAAATTCAGTGTCATTACCAGATGTAGGATCTGTACGTTTATTTTTATGTTTGATACATCAAGTATTTATTTAATTTAATAATTTTAGCTGTAACATAAAGATGTTAACAACTGTGGGTATAATTTATGTCTCCATATTACAAAAATAATGTAATTATTTTGTTGCAGATACAAATTCTGTAGGTAAAAATTTAAATTAGCCCAATGTAAACAAGTTCTTAAAATGCCTGTCCTTTGCTCCCGTCAGGCATGGTTGTTCTGAGGGATTTATTGCTATTAACTTGGGCACTTGATGTTAACTTGTGAAGAGTGCTGCTGTCTGTCATGTTAGTGAGTTTCATTGGTACTTTTTTTTATAGATAAATTTTTTTTCTGAGTCTTTTTTTTTTTTTCCTTTTTTTTTTTTTAATGTTGCACATGAAAGGGGTTGTTAAAACAGCTGTTAGGTCAGACATCTTACTCCAAAGGCATGATGAAATTTAATCTTTGATGCTGTTACAAGAAAGAATCCACTAGTGTCAGCATTTTTTCAGCTTGCTCTGTGAATTTTTCCTAAGGACTATCACACACATACCTCATGCATACATACTTAAGCATATACACATTCATTGTGAATATGTTCTTTAAAATCCACCACTTCAACCATTTTATCTGAAAGAGCAGCTGATGACTGGGACTTCTACTGTAAGGGTACCCTGAGTAGTTTTCACTGTGCTTATGGTCAGAGCCCTCAGGCGTTGGCCAGAACCCACGTATCCCTCTCTACCTTGACTGGCTAGTGATAGATGAAATGATTGGTAGCTTTGTGTTGCCCTCACGCCAAGATGCATGAAGTGAGTGGCGGATGCTTTCATGGCCAGTGATCACACAGCATCAGTGTTACTTTGGTTCCCAGCTGAGCCCAGTAGTGAAAAGTTAGCCACTACATTGTAACATCTCAGTAGCCTTTTCTGTGACAATGAAATTTTTATTGAAGATTTGTCATAGTTTTGCAAAATTGCTACTGCTTTGAATATTTTTAACCTTTTAGTATGGACTATGATGCTTGGAAAATTTTTTATATTAATTTAGTAAAAAGTAATTTCATTTTAATAATTATATTTAGTTGAATATCTTAGTCTCCAAAGAAAAACACTTTTTAGTAGTATTTGTGTTTCTTAATGGTAAAACTCAAAACACTAATGACGTGTGGACATTGTTGTGTCTCTGAATGCTAAAAGTTGGTCTGTGGTCCTGTAGTTTTCCTATCGAGTTGTCCAAACGCAGATGAAGCATGACAGCAAGCGTGCCGGAGGCGGCATACAGGTCTAACCCTAACTTTGGTTTCACACTTCGTCTTTCTTTTTTTCCCCTCTCTGTTACCTGCAGCAGACTGCTATGCCAGCAATCTCTGTTCTAGATTTGGTATGTTCTTGCTTCTTTCCCTTTGGTACTTTTTTTTTTTTTCCCTGTCTTGATTTTCATCTCTCCTTTGGTGATGGCTGTTCTGTGTTCTCAGTAGTCAGCTCTCCCTAGAGCCTCCTGGATCAGGAGACTAGCTCTGTGGTTAGAAGCATGCCTCGGAATGTTACTAGATTAGTTACTCTACTTTCTCGTTAACTTTAAATGTTACTGTTTGTTTATGGGCTTGACTTTTTATTTATTTATTTGTTATTTATTTATTTTTACAGTTTCAGTCACAATTTGAGTCTGTGTATTCTTACTTGAAGTATGTGAGCAAATGAAACAAGTTTTGCATTGAGTAATTATTTCGTTCTTGTTGTATTGGAAGCAGATTTTAAGTATGTTCACTGTGAGCTCAGTGGAAAGGACATTGGCATTACTTACAGATTTAAATTGTAGCCAGGATATCACTGTTTATCGTAAAGCAAGCGGTTTCCTATGAACCTGCATCCTAGCTTTTCCTAATACTATGTGGCTTTTAGTTCAGTAAAGTGATGTGTTTGTTACCCGATAGACAGTTATATTCTGACGTACATATTTATACCAATCCTTAACTCAAGAGTCTATTGCAGGTCAACTTATAAATGATTAAAGAAATCCAATACTTTAAAAACTCCTTAAAATTTAATTTAATGGCTACCACATCAAATACAATTCCCCCCTCTCCTCTGTTTATGTAGCTTGAGGACAGGTTACCAGAGAGAAACTTTTTTTATAAGCATCTCCCCTCCTTGGTGAACAGAGGAATATTTTCTATCTTCTATATCTTCCTTCTTTATATGAAACAAAGATAATAAACATCCATCCCCCACAGACACTTTATGTATCAAGGAGTACATGGGTTAGTTAGAATGTTTGTTGTTATTTTGTTTTGAGAAAGTGTGTCACTCTGAGCCAGGATGGTCCCCCAAACTCAGCGATTCTCCAGGGCTTGCAGGTGCGTGCCATGTTCCCCAGTTTAGAGTCATTCTTGGTAATGGCTAGTCATTCAGCAAGTATTTATCAGTAGCCCTTACAGAGCAGGCACTGACCACAGGCACTGTCACAGGCACTAGCCAGCTCTTGGCCCAAGGATGGTTCTATCTGTGGACTTATCCTTGATGAATAATACTAAATAATGTTTGCACTAAAGTTTGTTCCCAGTTTTTCTTGTTTTAAAGGAATATTTCGATTATTAGTGTTGGTCTTAACCTTTCTGTATCTAAGTGCTCCCTACCCTAGTTCTTTGGTAGGTATTAATATTATTAACAGCAGTGCATTATTCACTGAACTCTTAACTTGTGGGAATTGGCAGATTGCCTTGGAAACCTCTTCCCAGGCAGAGTGGGTAGTGGCAAACATGTGTGCCGCCCCGCAGTCTCCAGGCTTGTTCTCAGCGTATCGCAGGATAGATTTGGGGTGACTCATGGGGTGAGTGAGGCAGGTTTTATCGTGTCAGGAGCAGCAGAGTTCCCTAAGGTTGGAGGGCTGCCTGAACTGATTCCCACTCTTCCTGTGGCCTCCCAGGGACCTGATGCAGCTGTCAGCCCACAGCGGACTTCGTAGCTTTTCCCTCTCGTTCTATATCCACAACTTTAGGGACATAGTGATGCCAGTGACTCTAGTCTAGCCCTTTTGCATAGTAAGATTGGTTACCAACATGCCTGTATACCTTCTCCTCCTGGTGACAAAGGGGAAGCTTTCCAGATAGCGCCTGTGCAAAATCACGCACGCGCACGCACACACATGCGCACACACACACACACACATATATGCGCGCGCACACGCATGCGCACACACGCACGCACACACATACACCCCTCTCCTGTGCCTCTCACACTACAGCCCACTGGGCCTTGACCTCCCGTTCCAAGCAGCCTCCCATGATCCCATTTCACTCAGCTCAGAGACCACTGCCCCTGCCCACCTTCCTGCCCTGGCTGACCCACTACCATTTTCTGCTAACCTAAGCACCTGGTGATGGCCGCATCGCTAACGTAGCTCCCAGTTGTTTATTTCTTCATAACAAACCTCACATGGCCACCCAGTGTCCCGTAGAGCCAGTGTGAGTTTGCATTCTGGCCTGCATTTTTCTTGACACATTGTGCATTTCCTGCTTCATCAAAAGCACTCTCCTCTTCACTAAGTCACGTTCTGTGCTGTCACCCTTCCGTGCCTTTCGCCAGCTTTGCCTTGTCACCACACATTAATGGGCATGTGGTGCTCTGGCTAACATGATTAGTCACAGGAATGAGCGTCTACTGTGGGGAGGCGGAAGTGAAGAGTTGTGTTCAGAGATTTGAGTGGCTCTTGTAATAAGTCAGATACACCCACACACACACATACACACACACACACACACGTATATGTATATATACATATATGTATATGTGTATATTTGTCTTGTATTTTAGAAAAAATGAACTACACAGGGAAAGGATTTTTTAAAAGTCTTTAAAGACAGTGTCAGACTTCAGATGTCAGCAAGTAAAGAGTTTCACGATCCTGTTTCATAGTAAAATAATTTAAACATGGCTGTTAGTTCAACAATGATAATAACCTTAGTATATTTTGTGAATTTATAAACACTCAGATCTCAGCCTACAGTGTTGTTTGACCTGGAAATGCCCTTTTAAAATGCAGACTGGTGGCAGAACCTGCATCTTACCTGGATTCCAGGAGTGTGAGGGTTACATTAGCACTGACCCAGGCTGCCTTGATTGGATCAAAGACGCCCGGCCCATGCTCAGTTACACCGTTATAGGCACTTTGTCACCAGGCTGAAGAACAGTTAGACCGATGCTAATGATGCCCCTTTCTCTGTTATAGAACGCTTACAAGGTCCTGTTTGGATTGAAGAAATTAAGAGATACCCCCCCCCCAACAATGCTTACATAGAAAGGGGGTGTGGGAGTGAGTAAAAGGAACAAAACATTTCCGAGTAAAAAATACACGATTTACTAAACAATAGGGGAAAAAGTCTCAGTTATAAAAACACTAGCTAATTTATCTTAATGGCCAACATATCTCTCCACCCCTAGATAGACTGTTTTATTCCATCGAAAATTAGGGATGAAATTAATTAGATTTTTATGTGGTTTTGTTTGTTTGTTTTGTTTAGTTTTGTTTTTCAAGACGTGGTTCCTCTGTATAGCCCTGGCTGTTTGGGACTACTGTAGACCGGGCTGGCCTTGAACTCACAGATCGGCCCGCCTCTCCCTCCTGAGTGCTGGGACTAAAGGCCTGCAACACCACCATCCATCCCATCTTGGTTTTTGCTGTTTTAAAGCATACACAAATTGTTTTCCTATAAACAACGTATAGGAAAACTGGTGATTTTTATAGAAATTAAACTACATCTCACAGAAATCTCATATGAAGCGGTAGCTTAGAGATCAGTGGAATAATTTTGGAATTCTTTTTTTCGGATTGTGGAGAGTTTGAGTCAGTCCTCTGGGAGACGTGTCATGGTGCTGCTACCACTGTCTGTGATGAAACTACAGACGTAGCCATAGATCAGGATGTATGAAATGGAGTCTGCCCCAACCTAGAGCATGTGGTACATAGAGAAATAGGGTCAGGAGGGTGAAGGGGGCCACAAGAAAAAGGAGAAACCTGTCACAGGCACTGAAGACAGCTGTTAGTGTTTCATACTGCGAGGGGAAGGTGTTGCATCTTCTGTCGTTTCAGAAAGGTAGAACTCGAACGACCAAACATAGAGGATTGATACCAACACAAGAGCTTTTAAACTAGCTGTCACCCTAAAGCAGAATGTCCTGTATTGGGGAGTCAACAGTGGTGCCCTCCCATGTGCTGTATAGACACAGCTGAGCCAGAATGAGTTTATTCTAAACCCCAGCTTCTGATCGCAAGTTTGAGGTCTTGCCAGCTAGGAAGGGACCCCAGTAGTCTTTCAACCCACTCCCCAAGTAGCAGCTCTCAACTGCGGCTGGGCTCATGACAGGTAGCCCTGTGCTACCCACATCCCATGAGAAAAGAGTTTGTGAACATTCAAGGGTGGTTGCGGAATTCTGTAGTTCTTAAAGCAGAGCCTTTTGGTGATTTGCAGGAAGTAGCTAACAAATTTATTATAACAAAAGAAATTGTACTTGATTAATGCATGAGTGTATGAAACAACTTGTTTCTCTGAGTCACGATTAATGGGAGATTAGGTAACTTACTTTGAAACGATAAGAGCTAATTAATACATGAGCTTTACCATCTTCCAACAGTGATTTAGCGTGGTGTTTTCTCCTTGGCTTTCTGTGTCTGTGTGCGTGTGGGTGGGTGGGTGTCTGTGTCTGTGCTTGTTTCAGGGTGTGCTTTTTATGTCTGTGCTGGTGGGTTTTACTGGGCGAAAGTTAAATTCAGTTTATTGTTAGTTGCAGGATGAGGAGCGCAGGCGCCAGCAGCAGTTGGAAGAGATGCGCAAACGAGAAGCAGAAGACCGCGTGAGACAAGAGGAAGGTCGTCGCCTTGAGGAGGAGGAGCGAGTGAAGAGAGACGCTGAAGAAAAGGTTATGCTCCTCTAAAGGCAGCTAGCTGTCACCACATTAGCCCGAGCACAGAGGATGGGCTAGGGCAAAGGGGGCGAGGCATTATGTGTGTCTAGGATGCATAAGACAGAGCAGGGACGGATCTTCCACCTTTCGCTCTTTGGACCAAAAACTCTAGCCCCATCTGACCTGCCTACCTCTCTTCTGGACTGTCTTCAGGCTCCTTTGCCTTCTGATCTGGTCTCCCTCAAACTCTTGAGCACCATGCAGCACAGCAAGGGGTCTGGGACATGACAGTGCTCTGGTCCCGCCCGCAGACAGGGTCCAGGTGGCTTTGATGAAGGTGTCGCTTTTTCAGTTACTGTGAGAATTTAGTGTGAACTCTGGGAGGCAATAGGAACATAGCAAGGCGGTTGGCTCTCATTAACCATTTCAAACAGGTTGTTCACTAAAACTGTTTAATTGTGGTTGATAGTAAAGAGAGTTAGACGGTTTGTCAAACACACACAAGGAAAATTTAGTATGCAACCCAACAAATATTCTGGTTATTTCTACGTGTGGGTTTTATCTCGAATAATTTCCATAGTTGAATTTTAAATGATAGCAGTTTTGACAGTCTTCAAAGCAGGGGCTTCCAAGATGTAGTTCTCAGACCTTCCTGTGCCTGGGGCTGAGGCTCTCTTGGGTGACGAGCAGCTCCCTTGAGCCCAGGTTGGCTCTGGCCCATCCCTGGGTATTGCATGTTGCTGTGTGGTGTAAGCAAAGCTGTTTTTCTCTGTTACTTACCTTCTGTGAAGGTAGAAGTTCTGAGTGTCACTACTTCAGATGGAGAAAAGTTTAGTTTTTATTAATAGTTACTTCCTTGATGGTCCCAGTGAACTATGTAAATAGGGACATCCCTCCTCCCCAAAAAAGTTTAAAAAAAAAAAAAAAAAACATTAATTTTTAAGGAAGCTCTACATTTTTAATGAAGTGATGAATTGGTCACAAGACAATCTACGAGTATGATTGGTAGACATGTGTGGCTCATTTAAATGAAACAGTGGGTGATGTGGGCCCCACACCTGAATCCAGAGCAGTGGCTGGCTGCGTGCTAATGGCAGAGCCCTTCTGAAAGACTCAGCTTCCAGGGCCACGCTGCCCATGAATCTTGAACCGGGGTAACGCTAGTTGAAATCAGAAGTGCCTGGCACTGGACCCAGCCAAGCTCCTAAGTTACAGTCGTGGTCTCCCTTTGCTGTGTATTCCCTGAGAGTCCTCGGGCTGCAGGGATAGGTGCTCTCCCAGTTCAGCGTTGGCCAGCCTCTTCGTTATGACCAGAACAGCCCTGGCCTTGCTGGAGCCTGGAAGAAGCATCCTGGCTGTTGCATCAGAGCTGTGTACTCAGAGACAAGCAGCCTGCGCTTTCTGTGTTGAGAGGCTCTAGGCTATCAATTTCCCCAATGTGTGTTCTCCTAACTCATAATTATGTCAAACATACTTGTGTTCTAGTAACTGTTTCTATAATCCAGTAGTCACTGTAAAAAGAGACTGAAATACTATTTTTACTACAGAATGTCCACAATTGATGGGTTTGATTTGTTATGGAATATGTGCATTCATTTTCTGGGTAAAGTCACCATGGTCATTTAATTGTATCTGTTCTTGGTATAACCGGAAAAGGTTGGTTTGGCCTCTCCGTGCAGTGTTATCAAACAATTGTTTTTCATGTAATTTTAACATTCTCGACAGTGCCACTTAAAAGCCACAGAAATCATTGTAGCTTAATTACCCAACCTAAGATAGTACTAATTTTGTATAGTCAAGAAGATAAAAATATCTTTCCTTTAGAATTTTACAACATAGAACAAGAAATAAAGCTGGAAATGTGGGCCAGGGTAATGAGTGGGACTGGCCTTGTAGTCTCTCTTTTCTCTCTCAGAGTATGAAGCAGGGAGCATTCCATGCTCACTGTGTGTGCTTGTGTGTAGCTCTAGAGGGACCAGAGAAGCAAGGCAGCATGGTGAGGCCCGGACAGTCCGGTCAGACCAGCAGGTCCTTGGTGTTAGTTCCCTGAGTCTGGGTGGACTCCAGCTGACCATACTTGGTTTCCTAGCACCGAGCTCTTGCTTCACTTCAGTCCAGGCAGATGACTTGTTCGCCCTCCCCTCCCTCCCCATAGTTACTTCTTCTTGTGCTCTAAGCTCTTGTCAATCCTTAACAAAACTGTGCCGTTGCCTTTTTTACATGTTAAAAGAATTCAATGCTGTCAACTGTAGTTTGCCTGGATGGAAATGTACAGTGTGTGTGTCAGAATATACCTGCTATTACTATTAATGCTTGACTCCCATTTTCTGTTCTTCAGAGAGTTTATTAAGCTTTGAAACGTATTAACTGTGGAAAGCATACATGTTAGATTGTGGCTCTGGGGAAATGAGTGTTATTTCTTACTGTTAATGGTTTCCTATTGAAACACAGTGGAAACAGGTAAGTTGATATCCTGTCCAAACAGAAAAGGAGAGAAATCGTTGGAGGAAAAGAGGAAGAATAAAGAATGTAAACGATCCGGAGTCTAATTGTGAATGAAAGTCCTGCCTGATCCCATGCTTCTGAGCAGTTCGTGTTAGTGTGGAACAGTGTGCGTGTCTTCATGAAGTTACGATAGTTATGACACTGGAACATGATGTCCTGTGCACATGCTGCTGTAGTGATGGGTAGTGGTGATGGGTGTGCTTGCCCTTCCCTGTGAAGGCGCGGAGGGCCGCACCGCCCCTCCCCTCTGACCCTTGACCTTTTGCACTCTTGTCTATCCCTGCCTGCAGAGGCGACAGGAAGAAGGGTATTACAGCCGCCTGGAAGCTGAGAGGCGCAGACAGCATGACGAGGCAGCACGAAGGCTGCTGGAGCCCGAAGAGCCTGGGCTGAGCCGACCTCCTCTTCCACGGGATTATGAGCCCCCATCCCCGTCCCCAGCACCCAGCGCCCCTCCTCCCCCACCTCAGCGAAACGCCTCCTACCTCAAAACACAGGTCCTCTCCCCGGACTCGCTGTTTACTGCCAAGTTTGTTGCCTATGATGATGATGAGGAGGACTGCGGCCCAGCAGGTCAGGATAAGTACCCCGGCACAAGGAAGTCTCATGGGCACGTTCCTCTTGCTGCCCCTAAGCCGCAGCAGCCCCCCTGCCGGCCACGCCCAGCCTCGGATGGCATCTTTCTCTCCAACTCATTCCAGCCACCCTTGGCCAAAGCCAACAGTACTGCTAACAAAGCAGGCCAGCCCCCACCCCCTCCAGGCAAACCAAGCTTCTACCGTCCTGGCCACTGGAAAGGTAGAGGTAAAAGAGGGAATGTTGAATCAGACCTCTCTTGTCTTGATGATTGAGCCTGGGATCTCTGTACCCCTGCCCCTTGGCACGGTACACTGAGACCACGCCCGTCTTGGCCTTGGGTGTCACCTGGTTATTCTCAGCATGTGATCTCCCTGTACCCCTGATTGTGGTGTTTGTGCTAATGCTCTGTTAATTAAGCCTTGGTACTCCAGTTTCTCTTACACTTTAAGGCACTCGTTTCCTTAATCCGCTGACAACAGTCAGTCCTCCACTGTTACCAAATTATTTCAAGTACTGTTGGTCGTGGCTTTTTTTTTTTTTTTTTTTTTTTTTTTTTTTTCTGTACCTCTTCAAGTCATTCTTTTGTCAAGCAAGTGTCTTCTCAGCAAACGCATCAGTGCCAGAGTGTCGGTTGCACTTTAGGTTCACATCGTTTAATGTCAGTAGACCGTTTGGTTCTGCTCCTGAGGCCTGTGCAGTGACCCATACATACCCTTTGAGGAAGCTTGGTTGAGAACGAGTTAACAGGACAGCTTTACTCTGACGCCTGCAGAGAGCCCGTGCCCACAAACCCTGTCTTGGAGGGCTCCCTCTGTCCCTCTTCCATGCCCAGTCCCCTTTATTGTCTTGCCTTCCTGCCCCTCAGAGCACTAGCACCCAAGCCTTTGCAGGCTCCCGGCTTCTGAATGGGGGGGAGGGGCTGTTAATGACAAACACAGAGGCCGTTGCCCACAGAGTTGCAGTAAGCATTGAATTTATGCTGAAGGTGTAGCTCAGTTATATTCAAATTGGGACTTCAAGCTACCGTGGCCGTAAACGAGATGGAATCCTGGCACCCACCGAGAGCATCCGGTGTAATTTTAGTGAATGTGAGCGGCTTCAAAATTCTGTGGTTTTTACACAAACATGTGAACTCAGCAGTCCTAACAGAAGCCACATTCTCTTAAGACGTTTGTTTCCTACTTACGTGACACAGTTTGCCGGGATTCCTTTTTTACTTACCTGTGTCAGACTTTTAATCTATCTTGGAAGATGTAGTAGTATGGTTAAGTCACTCTGAAAGTCAAAAACCCAATCCTTTTATAAAATTTCTGCTGTGAATGGTGAAAAGCTGGTGCCCTTTCAAGGCATTCATGGAATAGCAATGCAAAATGCTGTTGAATTTTATGAACTTTGGGCAGATTTGGCCGTCTCAGAATAGTTGGGGACCACACCTGTCAGCTGTGGCCCTCAGTGACACCACAAGTGGTCAGACAGTGACAGTGGTCAGAGCACTTCACACCCGGTGCTCCACGCTGCCGTGTCCCGGCCTCGTCTTCCTCATCTCTGTCTGTGGTGAGGCATGCTTCTTGCAACGGGTCATGGGAGACGCAGAGCTTCTGGAATTGAAATGGTTAAGACTAAATTCCAGTGGCAGTATTTCCTCACACGATGTTTTTGTTTTACGAGAGCTCTTTGGAAACTACTTATGATGGACAGTTTTATACATATAGTCAGCTCAAAGTTTTAACATTGTAACAATCTCTAAACACTCTGGAAATTTTGAAGAACTGATTTTTGCTCATGGAAGAAGCCAGTGTCACTCCCAGCAAAGCTCAGAAGTACAGTGTTCTTAATAACACACAAAATAAATATAAAGTTAGGAATTGAAACCAGCTATGCAAATTACCAGTGTAAGTGCCCACTGTGGATTGCTAGGAGGGAAAAGTATGTTTTCTGCTTTTTTTGTTTTGTTTTGTTTTTTGAGTCTTTGCTGAAAGTGACATGCTCTGTGGTGACTTTGGGGTTTTTGACTTGAAGGCTGCTGGGCTCTGTCTAGATAATTCCAAAATACTATACCCTCAGGTTCTTTATATGGAAGAAAATCCATTATTCACCTGCCACTTGTCTAAAGAGGAGAGTTTTAATGTAAGAACGTGGTGATAATTTTGTGGTCTATTTAATCCAATCTTACCATGGTTGACAAATATTCTGAGCCTTTTGTACTTACTCTATGTTGTTAGAAGCTGGTTTCTCAGATGTGAATAGGTTTAAGAGTGTTTTGTCTACATGCGTGTCTGTCACCAGGAACTTGACTCCACATGGGTGCTTGGAGCCCTAACCTGGTCTTCTGCGAAGGAAGGCAGCAAGTACTCTTAACTGCTGAACTCCCTCTCCAGCCCCCTTACATTATTTAGCACTGTTACAGTGGATACTGTAATAGTGCTGAGATACTTTATTACAGCATTATATAATTTGATACACAGTAAATGTTTATCTGTATCATTTCTCTGTGTATCCTAAGGTCTTGGCAAATGTTGGCAATGGACTCAACTCTCAACTGTGGTTTCTTGGCCAAGACAGATATGGTGCACACAGGGCCAGCCTAATTCTAATTCTGCCCTCACATTTTGTTCTCTTGGAAATTTTTGTCAGCAGCACTAATGTGGAATGGTAGGAATTTTATTCTAGTTTGGTTTTGGTAGCTCATTTGTTTCAAAGGCTTTATTTTGCCTTTAATAGTTACATCTATCTTGAAAAAGAAATCTAGTCATCGTACACAAAGGAACTTTAATCATAGACAGACAGGTTTAACTCTTACACTTTGGGGTTACATTTGTTCTCAATGATTATACACGGAATGAATATATATATATATATATATATATATATATATATATATATATATATATATATATTTATATATTTATATAACTCCTGCGGCTGCAGAGATGGTTCAGGTTAAGACCACTGGCTGCTCTTCCAGAGGTCCTGGAATTCCCAGCACCCACATGGCAGCTCACAACTGTCTATAACTCCAGTTCCCAGGGATCAGACACCCTTACACAGACATATGCAGGCAAAACGCCAGTGCTCTTACAGTAAAAATAAATTTAAAAAAATAAAAGAACAAACAAAAGCAAGAGTTCCTACAGTGTGTTGGAGTATACCTAAAACATTTTGTTTACTCCCCACTTAAGTAAGTCTTCTGTATTTGTGGTCATTATGCTCTGTGCCGGCCTGAGGTATTTTATTGTTTTGATTTGTTTTTTAAAGAATGTGTTTCAGTTTTTCCATTCTAAGAACAAAAGGCCTTGATGTCAGCTATTGGACCTAGTGATTGGATTACCTAGCCACCGAAAGGGGTGAATTTTAAACTGGTGCGTCTTCGAGCATATGAAGAACCTTTGATTCCTCATCATCTAAGTGATTAAAGGAGTCTTGTTTTCCTGCAGACACTCTATATCGTGACCAAATACTTTATTTAACTTGGCCTTTTTTTTTCTGTTTTCATGGAAAAGGACCACACCCTTATACGGGATCTGCTGGGACAGGCTCGGGAGCCCACGATGCTCCTCGGGACCCAAGAGAAAAGCACACGAGAAGGTACTCAAGGGCTGGGCTCGGCTGGGTCTGATCTGTGCTGCTTTTCCTTCTTGTTGCCCTTTTCATGTCGTGGTGAATTGTGTCAGACTTCATCAGACATCCAGGTGTTTTCCCCTGCAAAGTATCATGTGAGAATGTGGGTGTGCCCCCACACACACACGTGTGTGTGTGTGTGTGTGTGTGTGTGTGTGTGTGTGAGCCACCACACCCTTCCTTACAGTGGGTTTCCCTCCTGGAACTTGCTCTGTAGACCAGCCTGCCGAGCCACGTAGCTTTTTTAAAGTTCCTGTTGCTGTCATGCTTCTGTTTGAGGGTAGTGATACTTGGAGCAGGGCCTGCCTGCTGTAAGACTGAAATGCTAGAGGCATGAAGGCCAGGCCTGTCAGTTGAGCCTGTTGCCACAGGCCGATTGCTTCTGGGATTTAGCTGGACATTTGCTCATCCTAGATGTAACAGTCCTGGCCTGCCTCTTACTAGACTGGGTGGGTCTATTAATGTATCTCAAGTACATGGAAGATTTGTAGAAACGCTGTATTCTTAAACTGTACCCCTATTAATTACACTTGTTTAGCTGGCAAGAAAAGCCTGCTTACTGAAGTTGAGCTCACTGAGTTATTCTCTTTTCCCATTTTTAGTGTGGATGGGTGGCACCGGGCATGTGGGCACGTGCATATGCACCACATGTTTGCATGTATGTGGGTGCATGTTGAGGCCTGAGACCCTCACATTGTCCTTCCATCTTACTCATTGAGACTGGGTGTCTCATCAGCATGGCTAGTCTAGCTAGCTAGCAAGTTGCTCTGGAAATCCTTCCTTCTGAAGCTATCATTACAAGCTGGCTGCCCTGTATTCCTAGTATTCTAGTATTCATACTGTGATCTCTGTTAACCATTCAGCCATCTCTAGTCCCCTTAGTTGGTTTTAAAGTTACTGTGTTAAGTAAAGAGAGTATTTTGCTCTTTTTCTACATAGATATATTTATTTATTACTGTTTTTAGAGTTCTTTTTTAAAGTTAATCTTAACTGTTTGGCCCACGTTGACTATAGGACTCTGTCCCTGCCCCTGTCCTTGTTCATTGAAATTGAATTGTGTGAGCATGGATTGGCTTTTAAAGTCTGTCTTTAGAGTAGTGTGCAACAATGAACAAGGCTTGCTGAAACCCTGTGGCCCCTGTGAAAAGGCTAAGTACTCGTATTGTGATGCATAATCTGTTGTGTTTCCCTCTCCTCCAGCCAAGATGCAGACTTCCCTGGCAGTTCTGGAGCCCCTGAAAACCTGACATTTAAAGAGCGCCAGCGCCTCTTTTCTCAAGGCCAAGATGTGTCTGACAAAGTAAAAGCATCTCGTAAATTAACAGAACTTGAGAACGAACTGAACACCAAGTGAGAGGAGGAGAGGAGAGGGCGCCTTGTGCCCACATGAGTCTGCATGGCAGTGGCTCTGTGGGGGCGAGCCTGAAGAGGAGGGAACAGTTCTAGTCCTAAGAGATTTCTAATTTCTGTTTCTAAAATGGTTGCAAGTTAGAGATGTTCCAATTCTAAGAAATCTTGTTTTACTTTACCAAGAAAGCCCTGCCTAGGTCCTGTTGATTTGACTCAGGTGAGGTTATCTTCCTTTGCTAGCTTCTTTGGGGAGTCTCAGACTCACAGGGCAGAATGAAGGGCAGTGAAGATCACAGGGCGTTTCCTCTGCCCTCTTTTCCCCTCATTATTCCCAAGGTAGTAGGCCAAGAAATTATCTCTGTTCTTTCTCTAAACTCCACTTGGCTGAACAACACAGACCATCGCCGTGTTCTGGTGGACCTGTGTTCAGGAGACAGAACCGTCAGCCTGGAGCCCAAGGTGGATGTCCCCACTGTACCTTCTATAATGTGCCACCTAATGGTGGCTAGATGGAGCTTCTTACATGTAAGGTGCACAACACATTCATCATTCTTGACAAACGTGAGCCTCCCGATCAATTCTAAATGTTTGAGATTGAGCATCTAATTAATAATTCAATTTTTAAAATTCTCAAAAATTTAAAGACTTAACCTTAGGGGATTTTATTTTTATAAATACCAAATTACTGTTAGACTAATCATTGGTGAAAATTAAAGATGACAGTTATGTTGGGAAGTTACCTAATATTTCAGATACTCCGAAGAATCTAGAGAGCTCTCTAGCTAAACAGCGTTCATGTAGGTAGAAGCAAAGATGTCTGAGAAGAGCTCAGCTCACGGGTGGCAGTCAAACATAGCTAGCAGAAATTTTAAATTTAGCAAAAAGGATTTGTGTTAGGTACACTTGTCGGAAAGGGGAGGGATCGGTTACTGTGCGTGCCATCTGAACTTTAATACTGTAAAGAATAACGCGTGGTAGTCAATTCACATTTCTTTCACAGCATAAAAGAGTAGTTTAATTTTAATTTGTGAATTTGCACTGTCATTCCTCCAGCTGAGTTGTGGGAGGCAGACATGAGTTTGTTTATGTTTGTGTGAAAGCAAGCTTTATGACTTCAAGAACACTTCTCATTTGACAAAGCCCTAATGTGGATCCAGATGATGTTTCTGTACCATACTATTCTCTGATAAACGTGTACGTTAGGAAAATAGGCACACTTGCAAATAGAACAGAAGCATTTGCAACCCTGAAAGCCACTTTTAATAAGGACTGTACGATAAGTTGTTGAAATACAATTGTAAATATTTTTTATGTCTATCAAGCTTCCTATTTGGAAGTGTGCCTTTGCTGTTTCCTCTGTAAGAGAATTGAGTGGTCCTGAGAGTTAATGAAGGATTTGCACACTTGCCTTGCCTAGGAAGTACAGTCTCCTTGAGTCTGGAGCACACTGGTAGCCTTTGGGTGGCATAGCCTTCCTCCCAGAGAAGAGCAGATACCTGCTGTTTGCTTGTACATGGGAAGACAGATGCACACAAGAACCTGCAAACATCTGAAAACTGCATGTGTGTTTGTGAAACCCATAGTGATGTAGACTTGGCCATCCCTGGACAGTGAGATCAAATGTGAATATGTGTTGTGAGAGCGCGTTACATAGCGTGTTACCGTGGGGAAACGCCCAAACTGCTGTTTTCCATTTCTACTGTATTTCAGTTGCAGCCTTTTTTAAAATAAACTTTGTATCTATTTAAGTGTATTTGCTATTGTTTTCAAAGTGCTGACAAAGTTTATATTTGTAATGCCAGCCCTCCTCTCCCCCATTTCCACCTGTCACTACTTCATTAAACAATGCCGAGTGTCACTCCTATGTCCCTCGGTTGTTTTTCTGTCTGCGGGTAATGTTCTTTGACTGGCAACACAACCAGCTAAGTAAGAACTAGGGTGACCTTTTCTCGAGAGTCTCGGATGAGAGCTTGGTCACCTTCGCACCCCGCAGTCGCAGATGGCCACTGGCACCGTGTCCCACTGGTCACTGGACTCCCTGAACATACTCGGTGGCCGTGCACACTGCATGAACGGTATTGTGGTCATGCACGTTTGAAGTGTAAGAGCCCACTCACGATGACTGGAATGAAGGTACGTTTTATTGTCGTGCACAGGCAACACTGGCCAGTTCTAGCAGGCTGGACGCAGAGCTGTGACCAAGCTCCGCAGCTGTAGCAGCCTTTTCTCTGTATTTTAGCAGTGGGGCCGTGCAGCATCCCAATTTCAGGGCTTCGGTGAAATGGAATGGGGGGCGGTGGGGGCAGGGAGTTACTGGTCAGAATATATAAAATTGGATACGAAAGGGAAATAACTTTGAGTACGGTTGCACCGGTAAAGCATTACAGTCAGCAATGTACTGTAAAATGTAGAAGAACTTGAAGGAAGGAAGGCGTGTTTAAGGGTTGAAGGAAGCTGTGGGGAGCCTTTTTGGTAGAATCAGGATTTATATGTTGCAATTACGATATTGTGTGTACTATGTTTTAATTTGCCGTGTTTTTTAGATTCTGTAGACACACTTATCCCCTCCTGCGCCCTCCTCCCTCTTAGGGAGGTTGTGGTTCTGGCCTACAGTTGTCTGTTGTCTCCGTCACATCATAAGAGCATCTACCAAACCCGCCGGGCGTTGGTGGCGCACACCTTTAATCCCAGCACTGGGGCAGAGGCAGGCGGATCTCTGTGAGTTTGAGTCCAGCCTGGTCCACAAAGCTAGTTCCAGGACAGGCTCCAAAGCAATACGGAGAAACCCAGTTTCGAAAAATCAAAATAATAATAATAATAATCTACCAAACCCTAGACAAATTTTCCTCTGTGCCCTCCCCGCTAATACGATTTCAGATATATTTATGGTAAGATTTAGCAAAATGTTGCTGGCTGGCTGGCTGGCTGGCTGGCAAGTAACCTGTGGGGTCTGACATCATGATAGGCTCTAATGACATGCTAGAAGGAAGGGAAGAGCCGGTGCATCAGAGAAAGAGGCTATAGGTTTTCAAGGCCATGTTAAGGCTATCGATGCTCTTTATACACGCATTATCACGATCCCAATGCTCTTGGACAAGTAGGAGCAGTGCCTGACATTCTATGAGCTGGTTAGCAGCACCCAGGAGAAACTTATGTGGTTGGGCAAGGCGCATGCGAGCGAGCGGTCGGTGAAAGCTACCCCGACTTAGCCATGCCCTTCACTCGCTGGCTGCCTGGTGCGAAGAAGAGAAGGAAATGCCAGGCCACCATATATTGTGGGGTTTCTCAGAACAGAGGTTGTGACAGCTTCAGCATCAAATGCGGGTGAGTGTGAGGGGAACCCCGCAGCTTGAAACCACGCCTCCCAGAGGGGCGGGGCTGGGAGAACTGGGGTCGGTTTGGGGATCTAAGGATGATGGACACATGCATTTTGTCCCAACTGCGGTTAAGGCGCCTCCCTTCAATTCCCACTGAGGCATCCCCGACCATCCCTTCAGCCCACCTCGGGGTCTCCTAACCTGGCACCTGGGTCAGCTCTGCGGGCCCTCTAGATGCTGAGCAAGAGCAGTGGTTAGTTAACCAACAGTGCTTGCTTACGTAATCCTGACCGCTGCCCTCTTAGAGCACACAGCAGAACAATATGGAGCGATAAAGTAAACAAAAAATATAAATACTGTGCTAAGCAGGGATCCCGAACCTTACGAGGTCTGTAGTCAGCGCTGCAAAAGTTAAAGAGTAGGTGGATAGCCTGTAGGGACTAGCTGCTCCTGCTGCACAGTGGGGCCTGAGGGCTTGGGAGAGGTCCCTGTGGATACATGACCAGCCAGGCCTCGGTGGTTATGCTGGGAGCAACATAGAGGCTGAGAGAGGCGAGTGGAGTTATTAGTTCTAGGCCAGCCAGCTCTACACAGAGAAACCCTGTCTCAAAACAAAACAACAACAACAAAAAAAAAAAAAAAAAAAAAAAAAACAAGAAAAGCAGCTGACTGCATAAGCTGCCTCTAAAGGACAGGGCTCCCTGGGCGGAAGGCAAGGAGCCCTGTGGTGGGCATGTGTTCCAGGAAAACTGGTGAGAGCCACAGGCAGCCTATCAGAACTCTGCAAATTGCTCTAAGAGAGCACGTTGAAGGAGGATTGTTTATAAGGGACTTGAAGAAATTTAGCAACACTGTAACGCCTAGGTTTCAGATTATTCAATTAGAGTTTAGCATTGTAGACTCTTTGTGAGCCAATTTAGAGAATAATTCTCTAATAAGAGGAGCTACATTTCCAGCAAAAATAAATATACCCACGAAAGGAAGGACCGAATCCCCTGCAGGAAAGATGGGATCCCTCGCAGGAATGACAGGATCCCTAGAAGGAGGGACTTAAATTATCCTCTGAGTTTCTGGGAATGATACATACATCCTTAGCTGGGACACTGAGCCCCCAGTGAGACGGCCACACCCGGACCAGTCATTTGTGGGAGTTAACGTACACTTCACTTCTTTGGCTTGTAAAATCCAAGCAGTCCATGCTCTGACTTCCTTCCAGAGTCCAACCTCCATTTTCCACCTTCCTGTCCTCATAGAAATCCTTTCTCCTTGACCTTCTGAGCCTACTCACATCTCTTATACTCTCTCTCTCTCTCTCTCTCTCTCTCTCTCTCTCTCTCTCTCTCTCTAGGTTGAGATTTTCAGGGGCCTGTTTTGGGGTTTTACATTTTTTATTATTTTTATTTGTGTATATATTTTTTTTAATTTGGGCGGAGGCGTTTTTGTTAGTATTCAGGCATCTATACTGGGCTGTCCTTCAGGTTCTGACAGGATACGTCCTCAGCTGCAGCCACTAAGAGCACAACCTGTGCTCGTTCACTATGTTGCCTTTTAAAAGGGCCCTGCCCACCTCCCTCCCATCATCATCATCATCATCACTCTGTATGTGTGTGTGTGTGTGTGTGCCTCTGCCTCTCTGGGAATAAAGGCGTACGCCACCACCGGTCCAGCTGCTTTTTTTTTTTGCTGCCTTGCCTCTGCAGTGCGTATGTGAAGGGGTCTGAGCGCCCTGACTGCCGACCTTCCCTGCAGTCCTTTGCTGAGACTGCTCACCCTTCTCTTTCACACTATTTCAGTATGACCAAGCAGGGGCTGTGGTGATGGGTTTTCCCTTTGGATCCTTGGTTGTAGGTCAAAGAAGAAAGAATAGTTCAACTGGAAACAGAAAATGCCATTCTGCACCTGAAATTGGCAGAGGTAACAACATTTTAATGCGCCTTGTAGACCGGCAGACCAACAGACCGAGCACGAGTGGCGGTTTGGAGCCGGCTACTTACTGTACTTGCAAAAGATGCAAAGGGAGAGCGACCTTCATTTGGTCTTTTGTCCCATTCTGCGAGCTAGAAGGGACACTTGGGTTCACAGCTGTCATCCTGTACCCGAACAGGGATGGAGTCTGCATTATCCATCTTGGTGCTCTCAAGCATCTAAGGAATAATCCGTCAGTAATACGCCCAGCAGATGTTAAGTTGTACCACTCTGCATTTATTAAATCTACAGATAACTACTACAACCTCCCCATGTTGCTGTAGCAGCATACCCGAGACCATTATTTACAAAGAGCATTTCTTTCTCTCAGTTCTGGGGTCCAAGATTAAGGCACTGCAGGTTTGATATCTGGGGCCGGCTCATTTCTCTAACTGGCACTGTCTAGATGTCTTCCTGTGGTGCAGTAGATGAGCAAATAGCTCTCTAGTCTTATCCATTTACGAGGGATTTCATAGCCTCCCAACCCCCCCCCCCATCTTTATACCACCTCAGTGGACATTGTTTGTCAGCATGAATCTTGGAGGAACAATCTACAACAGGTTGCTGGGCATCCTCAGGGGCTTCCTCTGCCCTCTCCCACCCTTTTTGAGGCAGCTTGCCTGCTCTCAGGATCAGTTAAGGACTAAGCCAGAAACTAGAAGTCTGCGTGGGCAGGGCCCTCCCACAGGAGCTCAGACACTGCCTCCGTCACAGGAACACGTCAGAGGCTAGGGCCCTGCTTCCTGCTCAGTCCTCGAGAGTGAGAACTGAGCCCTGGTCTGCTTGTTGCTCTTCACTTTGACATTGGGTCATAGTACTGTGTGATGTGAGCTCTCGGCTAGGGTGAACGCCCGTGTGGATAGATAACCCCCACCACCACCTTCCACCCCGCCAACACACAGGAAAGCAGCAAAATGAAGCAAACCCCACAGGCATAGCCTTGCTCATCTGGGGCCCCTGCACTGATACCTGTGGAAACCCGGATAGAACTCTGGCCAACCCTGCCAGCATCTCTGCTGTCCCGGGCGACAGCAACAGCACCTTGTATTTCCTGTCACCTCCCCTCGTGCTCCAAAAACATCCAGAAGGGTCTTCTACAAATGTGTGTCTGTTGAAAAGCCTTGCTACTGAAAGCCTTTCCCGGGGTTGGCACCGCCCTTGAGTGAATGCCCGCCCAGGCTTTGCACCTCCTCTGCTGTCCTTTCTCTTCTGAGGTCTGTCACTCACAGCCTCCGCTTGGCTTGGCCTCTCTCTGCATCCCTTCTTCCTACGTGGCCAGTGCCTTCAGGCGTAGCCCCGAGACCCCTGACCTCCAAGGGTCCACACTCCGGGGACTCCTCCTCTGACTCCGCCCACTCTAGAGCCGTTGGCAGCCCTCTTCCTGTGTCCTGTGTATCATGGGCCATCAGCAACTTTTTCTCGGGGTCACAGGAGGTTTCAAACGTTACATTATGTTTTCTTTCTGTGTAGCACCGGGAGAGGACGGACAGGAGCAGCGGTGAGGCCTGGCTCTATGCTCTGCTCAGGATGAGACGGTGTCAGCAGGGAAGCATCCGTTCAGCCTTCCTTCCGCTTG